CAAAAGTAAGAAATAAGTAAAAATAATTTGAAGAAGATTGCACATTCCAATAGAAAGAAAAGCTTCCAAAACCTCTCGATTATTGGCTACCTTCCTTCTTCGACTTGAATGTTGATCTTTTAATATCAATTTTATCTTGCTCAACTGTTCAACCTCTTCAAAAATTGAGTCATGTGTAGATATTCAAAAATTTATTGCTCTCACCAAATTTTGCTTCAATCCAATAAGCAAATATTTTTAGATCTTGAAATCGCTCACTGATCCTATATTTCAAATTTTTAAGACCATAACATTCGAAAATCCTCATATGTATTAATTTAACTACCTCATTGTTTTCAAATTTTTTACACACATTTATAACAAGTATAACAACAAACTATCTAATTTTTATTTATGTATATACTACAAACTCAAAAAATTCTAAAATTTATAAATTTGTTTTTATTTCTCAAAATCTAAACCTATTGAGTTCATTATTAACCTTAAAATCCTTCAAAATCTCAATATTAATCCAAATGATATGAAACTAATATTAAAAAATTTCTTCTTAAATGTGCTCTAAAATTTTGTTCTCCAATTTGTAAAAGAACTCTAAAATTGCTGTAGGTGTATGGTTTTATACCTTGAGGTTTGATTTTGATCTAATTTGACAACTAATCTTCTTTAGATATGAAGTTTTAATAATTTAAAGTAAATTTTTCTTTAATCTATTGTTAATTCTCTTTTAAATATTCTTTTATGAATTTTTTATCTCATTACTTTGATTTGGATCAGTTATGCCTCCACAAAGTAAATAAAAGTTTTTTCTACAAAAGATAGTATTAAGACTAAACTTTTTATTACCTTTCTATCATTCATTTCTATTTTTTTACTATGCCTTTTTACTAGATTCTTTTATAATATCATTTGTATTTTTATTTTTTACTATATGATTGTATTATGAGATAACATCTATCCTTCTTGAACTTGTGTATCATGTAGTGTGTACCAAATAATCCAAATATTAGTTGATTTATATTCTATTTTCCATGTCTTCATCCAAATCTTCTTCATTATTCTTGCTATTTAAATCAAAATTATCTAGTTGTCTTAAAAGATTTATTTCTTTTACAAGGTCTAATAAATCTTTATGAGCTAAGATCAAATATCTCATTTTCCATAATCCACTTGTAATAATAACTCAGTCAACAAACTATTTAAAATGAATAGTTATAGGATATGCTTGATGTAGACCATTTTGATGTCATATATTAGAATATGGTTGACAAGTTTTACATAATTCTATAAATAAAGTAAATATCAATTCATATTTTTTTACTAATATTTTTCTTTAAGTTTAGCAAGAGTAATCTAAATTTTCCTATGTCATGCCCGTAAACTATCATAAAATCGTTTTAGTAATTTTTATTATTCTTCTATATTTTCTATCACTTATTGTGGCATCTCAATCCTTATTTTTGGTCTCTATAATAACTTTTGGTCTTTAAAAAGACTTAAGTATAGAATAAACATCCTTTGAATGAATCTTCATAATCTTATCATCATCTCTTAAATAGATGTAATAAATCCTAAAGAATCTTTCAATCTATTTTTTTTTATAAATATTTGAAATCTTTCCATCATCTTTTAATGTCTCTAACCTATATAATTCTTTTTCGACACCATATATATTTTTTAGTTTTTTTCTTTTTAAATACTTAATTTTTTTATATATAATACTTCTATTTTAAAATATTAAAAAAACTTACAGCAAAGGCATCTACATCTTACAAGAGTACCTCCCCTTTAGTACCTCCATAATCTTTTTTTATAGTTGTAATTCTTTAAAATCCTTAAATTCTTCAATAATTCTTAACAATGGCTTCTCCTTCAATCAATCTTGATTTTGTTCATGTTTAGGAAGTATAGTTAGAAATTATACCGTATTACTTCCATCTTTACTATAAATCTATACATTGATTGAATCATCATCAAATAATTTTGTTTCTATCTATATTGCTATAATATATGGTTGACTTAAAAACATTTAATAAGATGTTGGATTTTGAACAAAGAAATGTTGTTCTATTAGAATATCTTCAATTTGGATTTTAACATCTAGGCAAGTTCTATAGAATTTGTTCCATATATTAATAGCTACTTATATTATCCATCTATTATCAAAAACATGGATTTCAAAGAAAAAAAACCTCAATATACTTTTGTGTCACTCAAAAAGATTAAAAAATCACTTAAAGATGATATAGAATTGAATTAGAATGACTATTGCTAAAGACAAGAAGACTAAAAAGTCTTGAAATAAGACTAAAGATTAAAAAGGCATTGACTTTGTAAGACATGTATTTTAACTTGCAAAATAAGTTTCTTATATAAGTGCCACATAGTTAGCTTATTCTACAAGCTATGAACATGTAGTTAACTTATTGACTTAGCTTCTAACCTATCAATCAAATACAAATATATATAAATTCAAAGCAACATTTGATGTTTGGTGATTGAAATATGATAAATGATAGGATTCATATGAAGAGGTGAAGTTCATTGTGCTTCTTTAAACCTCACTAAATTCAACACCATATATGGGGGTAGAAGTCTTGAGGCAATATAATGGTATCAATTGTAGGATGTTAATTTATTAAGAAAAGTATGTATATAGTACAAGTTGTGAGTGTTGTCACTTGATTTGGCAATGATTTATAATATTTAAAAGAAGTAGACTATAGAAAAGGGACAAAGAATGCATTTCTTTGCTAGTTGAAATCCTTTAAAGTATTCAAGAAAAGAATAGTTATAAGTCATGTCATAGTAGGTACAATGAAAGGAGGCACCTTCTAATTATTTTTTTTGTATATTTTGAAGTTTTTAAGAGCAATGGATATGAGAGGTGAGAAGTCTTATCAAGTAATATGAAGCAATAACAAAAACAAACTTAAGTATTATGGTATGGAACTTGCATTCTCTAATAAGTAGGGGGAATTTTGTAAGTTACATGTAAAATTTGAAGTTCCAATGAATCATCAATAGCAAATAAGAATAAGAGACATAACAGGTATGAAGTCTCAAGAGACAGTAAAGAATTGAGTTGATATAGTATTGACATGTAGCTATAGTATTATTGTGAAGAATTACAAATATTATGACAAGAGTCTTCACTTGTGTACCTCAAATTGATTTTTATTGCAACTCAAAAGTCAAAGCCTAGAGTGGAATTGTCATTATGATAATATATCATTGCATTGTAGTATAAATGCAAAATACAAAAATCTTGTGAGATTTGCTCCAATGAAAATGAATGTATATTCTTTTTCTTGAAATTGTGAAGATATTCTAACATCTACTTGAAATTTTATTATCAAATCAATAAAGGAAGAAAGAAGATTAATAGAAGACTAAGTTGAAGTGGCAATGGAAGAAAACAACAATAATAGAGCACATTCTTCACTACTACAATTCAAGTCCCAAGTAAGGTCAAAGATAAATTAAGCTTACCTCTTCAAAGGAAAACAAAGATAAAATTATATACACTAATCAAAAACAATTGGTGAAACAAATTCTAAATATTAAGACAACATGCAAGGTATATAATTTGAAATGAGTAGTAATTTAGGTGATAAGTCTTTAGGATTTAAGGATTGGTGTACATAAAAATTTCTAAGATACTACAACTATAAGAAGAAAATCAAATTAAGAAGAAAATTTAGATAAGATAGAATGTTGAAATAAATGCACCTTCCTCAATTGATCAAAAAATAAGAAAATCTTCTAGTGAAGTTAGAGATAAGGAAGAAAAGGAGCCATAAATTCCAACTTCATTTCCTTGACTTGATAGAATTAATCATCACAAGAACAAACTTGTACTTCCTTCAAGGATTTTAGCCTCACAATTAAGATAATCAGAGGAATCTTGCATTTAGAAGTATTCATAGACCTACTAGCTAAAATTCACCTAAAAGTTTATTTTAAAATAATTTATACTTCTACCTTCACTTAGATTTGTATAATTTTAGTGCCAATCAATTTAAAAAAAAAAAAAAAAAAAAAAAAAAAAAACTTAGAGCATTTTTGTATAATATAAATATTTAAAATTATTTTACAACAATTTAACAGTTGATTTTATTTTGCCAAATTGAGACTACTAGTTTAAATAAAACACCTTATTTTGGATAATCCGCCATTATATAATAATACATAAAAGGCCATATAAAAAAAAAACACATAATCAAAAAAATGTTAAAGATTTTCAATTAATTAATATAAATGAGAAAAGTTAAAATTTTTATTTTAATAGAGCATAGACTAATTTTGGAAATTTACACACAAGGATTGTGGGTGAAAATTCAAAAAAAGTATTGTGTATATATATATATATATATATATATATTTTACTTAAGACGGTTTTATTTAATTTTGACTAATATTTTTTTACAATAAAATATTATTTAAGCTGTTTTTTTAAGTTTTTTAATTGTTATAAAAAAACATCAATATATGTATATATATATATATATATATATATATAATGAATTTTTAAAGAAGTATATTTTTTACATACATAATTATGTAGGTTATTAAAAAAATCTCACCTAATCGTCAGATCGCGGTGATCCACCTAACATGTCTAGTGGACGCGACAAAAAAATTCACAATCCTAACCTTCAGATCGCGGTGATCCCAAACTTTAGATCGGCGGCTAGGATTGAATCCGATGACCACCGCGATCCGACGGTTCACGGTGGCGGATCCTGTGGCTTGAGTTCGGAGGCCTCGAGGACACTTGACTTCGACAAAGGACAACCCCGTTTGACTTTTAGAGTTGAAAAGCCCACCCACCCCTCGTCCTCCTCTCCGAGAAATATTCACCTCTTCGCGTTATGTTTATAAATAGTAGTCCCGCTCTCTCGCTGGTCCTGTTGACTGAGTTCTCCGACTACCCCCCCACCCCCGCCCCCCCCCAATCCCCGTTCTAGAAATGGGTTCTAGAAAATGGGTGGTACAGATTCCTAAATATGAGTCCATGAAGCTGCCTTCGCTGAATGTGAGGACCAACTGGCACCCACACTCACACACCACTGGGGTGCTATGATAAAAACATCAGCTGAGTCGAAGGAGAGAGAATCCGCTGTCTGCATGAGCTCAATCTGCGTCTGCCTAGTACGCAAAGACCTCGAGATGCGAGGGCTCCTTTCATTCGGGGAGTTGCATCGCCGTTGTCGGCAACGTCTCGATCCGCGCTCGCATTAGGTGGGTGCGCCCTTCGAATACCATTCTCGTTCCTCTTTGGTGTGCAGAGTTGTCCAGGACTCTTCGCGGCGGGAGGAAGTCTCAACAGTTGACGAGGCCTTTGTGTGTCTCGTCAGTTTGGTTTGTCGGAATGTACATGCACTTGCGGATTCCGTCCCTTTCGTGAGCGGTTAAGGGTTTATGAGATGCATGTCTGGGTTCTGTGTTAGGTTTTTTGGGGTTGGATGGGGCTTTCTGAACATAGTTGACTGAAGTTTTTTTTGGTCATTCTGGTTTTAGAGGGAGGCCAGGGATTGGCGAGATCTTGTACTCGCTCAACGCGGTTGAGCAAGATCTTACAGGGTAGCACCGCAAAAAAATGGAGGCATCTACAAGTGGAGTCAAAGATTACTTAATTACCGACGAGCCTGTGTTGCTGGAAGATTCAACCGGAATCAAGGATTACTTAATCACAGACAAGACTGTCTCACCGGAAAATGGGCGTTCATCCGAGCAACGTCACTCATGGTTAGGCCACCTCCAAGGTGAGCGCTCACAGATCTCAATCTCATTAATCAGATTTTGGTCAATTGGACCTCCACCTCCGACTGAGGGCTGGAATTCTTTGAGATCCTGTACCGCTCTCATTTAGTTGAACACTTGTCCGAATGCCTGGTGCGCTATGTGTAACTGCATGGTGTGCGAGGAGGATATTTCGTCTCTGTCTGAGGGTTTTGTGGCTGCGCACTTGCAAGGCTAATTTCCGTGAGGAATCACCAAGATCATGAATTGAATTTGTATCAAACTTCAACCCACTCATGTCTTGTCGTTTCAAGCAAGTTTGATTGCAACCATAAATCAACCTTCTGCCTTAGTATTTTGACTCGCCTCTGGGGCCTTGTTGCGCTGCGTTCTTTTAGGGTACTACGATTTTTTGCCGACCGATGCTTCTAATATTTATCCCACAACAAACTCCAGCGATCTCAATTCAAGCAAAGATAGTTCTATCGTGAAGTCCAGCAAATGCAGTGCTATTGTGGAGTCCAGCCATTCTACCGTGAGGTCTAGCAAATCGTGGGGCAATACAGGCTCTGCAACCGATGCGAGTACGTTATTGCTTTCTAGTCTTCTAACATATCCCCCTGTGATTGAATTTTTTTTGTCTGCTGGGATTTTTAAAGATATTCTATGAAGCTGATGCTAACCAGTTCTATTTTTATCTATTGTAGTTGATGAGAGATTTTATTGTCATGCTTGCTGACATTTGGATAAATTGCTTGCATTGAGCTTACAGGAATGTCAGAGTTCATGAAGGATTGGGTTGAAGACACCAGCTCCAAAGTTGGAATTCCAGGTAAGACTTCGAGTATATTCTCCAATCATATACCGATCTCGTGTCACATTGCATGCAGTGTAGAATAAATTCAAGGTTTTCTTCTGTGAAGAAAAAGTATGATTTAGAAACTCCGAGTAGGTTAATGATACTCAGACATAGCTCTGTTCATTAAACGATCTACCTGCAGATCCAGACGACCTCGCATATATTGAAGGTTATAAGGCACCGAAGAGCGTGAGATCTAAAAGCCTCTCCGACTTGAACCCGTTCAGAGTATCGCATCTGGTCATCCAAGAATATACATGGAAAAGGGTTATGGCTATCACTAGAGATAAAGAGATCACAGTTGGGCATGGATCATTTGGTGTTGTGTACAAGGGCACCTTAGAAAACAAAACGCATGTAGCAGTCAAAATCCTGGCGGCTACCTCTAAGCAAGGGGATCTAGAGTTTTATAATGAGGTAATTATCACCGAACCATGCTTCTCATGCCGATTAGACACCTGTTATGACAACAGTCCAATTCTTTCCTAGATTACATTTGGCACAGTGTCATGAAACTGAACTAGGATGAAACTGAAATCGGCTTCCCTTTTGTTTGCTCATGTCTGAAACCAGGTAGAACTTCTCTCGAAGCTGAATCATATAAATCTGGTGAAGCTTTTGGGGTGCTGTCAAGAAAACCGTAAGCGAGTTCTGGTGTACGAGTACGCTGAGGAAGGATGCTTATATGAATATCTTCACGGTGAGTCACTGCTCTTGTGAAGATGTAGCAATGTTGCATTTTATCGATTCAGTATTTGGGAGTTTTTCTTACTAGGATTCTGTTAGCGAAGGATTACACTACATCTTGATGTGTGCAACTCTTCTGAATGCAGGAGGAAGACCCTCACTCGACTGGAAAACACGATTACGCATCGCCTTGGATTCGGCACGTGGTATGTATGAGTAGCAATCTCTAAAAGTGAACTTTCCCTTTGAAATGACGATATGTTCTTCAGTCTTGTTCGTATGAATCCCAGGCTTCACATAGCTCCAGGTTGCTAGCACATTTGGACATATATATATATATATATATATATATTCACTTTCTTTGACTATCTATAGATGTACAAACTTGTGGTGACCATCGATAGCGTACAGTGTTAAGTATTGTGCGGTGATATTGTTAGATGCATGCATGTGTTCAATTTTGAGATTTGAAACTAGTAACATTCAATGAATATTTGGTGTGAAAGGCATCGAGTATCTACACTTCGGCTGTACTCCAAGGATTATTCACCGTGACATCAAAAGTAGAAACATCCTTGTTGCGAAGGGCTCGGTTGCCAAAGTTGCCGACTTCGGTCTATCGAAACTAACGGGTGAGGGCGACAATAGTGACCAAAGTGAATTCATCACCGATGTTAAGGGAACTCCTGGTTATCTGGACCCTGAGTAATTCTCACTACCCTGAAAACTGTGTGCCTTTAGTATGTAATCGATCCTCTATCAGTCTGATTGAATAGAATTGAGATGATTTCACCACACATGTATGTCTGATTGAACGATCATTCAGAACCCTGGCATGGTTAGTGTATGTGTAGAATGAGCTGCAGCTTTGTTACATTTATCGACCAACCTTAAATTCTTGGTGAGATGTGCAGGTACTGTAGAACGAACACATTGAACCACAACAGTGACATCTACAGCTTTGGCGTTGTGCTGTTAGAAATAGCCACAGGAAAGAAACCAACTGTTGATGCAGCCCACATTTCAGAATGGGTTAGCAGATCTTTTCCCAACATTGGCCTTCGTAGATTTGTCTTCTTTCTTAAACTGAAGCTGCACATGAGATCTGGTTTCATTTTTTTTTTTTTTTTTTTTTGTATATATTTTTTCCATGTTAATGTAGATCCGTGTTGGATTGTGTGCATATGTCTTTGCTCCAGTCTGAAATACGGATGTTTTTGCATTCTCCATATGTCAGGTGAAGGCACAAATGAAGTCTGCTGGTGTGATCAAGGTTATTGACCCAAAACTAGGTAATGAATACAACATCAAATCAGCGAAGACAGTTATTAATCTTGCTTTGAGCTGCCTGCATCAATGCAGCAAAAACCGCCCAGATATCAGGGAAGTAGTTAAAAGGCTTGGTGCTGCTGCGGATGAGGCTTCCAAAAACCCCAAGAAGAATATATGGTTTAAACGTGCCTAACTGTAGCAATTTTTGTATACAATATATAGCTACAAGTCCCCATTCACCATTGAGCTTTTGGCAGGCTGAAGAGTCCAAGCATGTTAAACTCTAGATACGCTTATTTACATGTTGTGCATGAGTTTGCACTGATGCTTTTCTATTACTCTCAACTTGGAGCCTGACACTCATGCTGCCACCAATTCCACTTGGATTCAGTTGTATATTGTTAGATGCAGATCACGGCATATCAGTATTTGCTGAAACCCATTATGTAAACAGTTGTAAATACAGAAAGCAGCATTTTTTTGTATATATTTTTTCTTTGTTTGGAATCATGTTGTTATATTCTATGCAAGGTGGGCCTTCTGCCACCTTGTCAGTTTTGAACACATGGAATATTCTAGAAACTTTTGAGGATAAACTTTCCGACAAACAGTTTTCTATTTTAATCTCATGAATGTGTGCTGCTTTGACTTCCTAGAAATTGGCAAACAACTGGCAGTCATAATATGCGAATGTGGTGTTTCTAGCAGAATCTGAGCATCTTAGTTTATTAGAGTAGCTTAAAAAATGGAACGAAAATAGGAGACATGATTCTGTGCTGTTGACGTGATTGACTCCTTGGCTGTTCATAGCAAATCTGAGCATCTTGTACCTCCTAAATACCTACTTATAAAGGCATCCACGGTTGTCATTCTGGTGAGTATATCCAAAGCCTGTTGCATATTCATTCAGAATCTGCTTACTTACAAGAATATGTGTTGTGACACAGAAAACACGAACTAAAAGAATAAAATATAATTTAAAAACATAAACTTCCATCTCTGTCAATTACAAGTCAAGCATGGTGATGATTACCACTTCTTCCTTATCATTTTTTTCGTTTTTTCTTTTGTTTTTCTCCTTGATTGGTTTTTTTCAAGGTCTTGGTTTGGCTTTCTTATATTTGTTTTTTTTCTTATTTTTGTGGTAAAGTATGAATTGCACAAATTGAGTCTCTTGAATTTGTTTCAGTTGTAGAAAAGATCTTGTTAATTAACTATCAAGATGTAAATGATGTGGAGCATACTACTTGGTCTCTCATGTAGTGACAAAAGTAAAAATGTTTTGTCCATTTGAAATTGGAATTACATTCTCGTAGGATAAAATAGATGAATGCAACCTTGGGATATATTTTTATCAAAAGGTTCATTGCTATTCAATTTCCCTAGTGTCACGAATTTTTTTAATTACTTTTTGGTTTTATTTATTTATTATGTTAACTCAGAAAATTTATGTCGAATATTATCTATTTATTTACTTATTTATGGTATAACAATTTTAGTTGCTAATGTCACACTCCACAATATATAAATAAATCATGATCAAAGAAAAATTTTGAAAAATTTCGAAAAGTTAAATCCGATAAAGTAAACAAGAATTTATCAAGAAAACAGTCTGCATTTGTGGCGATTTTTATCTGGTACCATAGAGAATAATAGGTGGTACATTGATTTAGATGTTCTACAACATTGAGGTTGGTTTTTAGTCTTATTATAATATACCAATAATTTAGTCCTAGATTTTTGTTTAAAGATAATAATAAACTTACCATTGAAGTGGGAAAAAAATTAAAACTTTTCATTTACAATATATTATTCAAGATTTTAAATTAAAAGTGAAAAACTACATGTGACATTCTACCTGTGCTAAAATTGGTCAATTATTTTCAGACCAAGGTTAGAAAATTATTTTCTAGGCAAGATTTGTTTTATAAAGAACAAATTATAAAATAAACATAAAAAAGAAGAAAAAAAAAAAAAAAAAAAAAAAAAAAAATCTTTCATGGTATAAGATCTAGGAGCTTGTTTAGGTTCAATTATCAAAAAGTATGACTTTGACTTTTTTTGAAAGTAGAGATATTGAAAAATCTTAAAAAATAAAAAATGAATTTAGCAGTGATTAAAGTTTAATCTATTAACTTAATATTTGAATTAAAAAAAACAATTAGAAGTAGAAATATTTATTTAAAATCTTATACATTTTCAAAATAAGATATTAATACAATAGTACCTTCTATTTTATTTTAATATCTACTTATTAATATTAATTTACTTATAAGTAAAAACATTAGGAAGCTAATATTTTATTATTGAGTTGATTGATTGAAAAATATTTAAAAATATATATATAGTTCTTAGCTTATATTTTATATTATTATTATTATTATTATTATTATATACATATACATAAATTAAATAAGGTCATTAAATTTTTTACATACCTAAAATATCTAGGTATATAGAAGTTAGTAGGTATAATTAAAAAAAATTATTAGATAGATAACATCTTATTTTTTTTAAAAAAATATATTTAATTTCAATTAGATTTATAAATATCTTTTAATGTACCATGTAGTTATAATAATTCCATTTAAGAATTTCTTACATCTAAAAAGTCACCACACAAACATCTTTATACTTAGATTCTTGGTTTGCAAATCTCCAAGTGTCTTAAAAAGTTTACATAGTCTTCTTACTAGTTAATACATTTTGTTGTAGAATTAAAGTTATTCTAAATCTTATTCATTTTTTTCTTATTTGCTATCATTGGTTTAAGATCACTTGGTTATTTTTTAATTAAAAATTATTAATTTGATACTTTTTTATTCATAAATATATATATATATATATATATATATAATGATTAGTATTAAATTTAGGAGAATATTAAAGCGACCTATCTATTTATTGAATGGATCCATTTTATTGTAATAATCATTAGAAAAGTAAATTATCTCCAAAACTCATCATTACAATTATGACCGTCATCTTTATTTCTTGGTTTCCAATCCTCACTTCCTAGTTCTCCTCATTCTTAGCTCTCATCTTGACTTCTTTGTTCTTCCTCCCTCTCCTTCCTTCCTTCCAAATCTACTCCTTATTCTTGAAAGGATAAGATATGAGAAAATGTGGTTATATATTGATTGACTATTCTACACAATGCTACAACCCCTCCGTTCACTACATAATGAAAGCAAAAAAAAAAAAAAAAAAAAAAAAAAAAGCTTATTCATGGTAAAAGGATAAGGATTCTATTTAATAATTAGTCAACAATAAATGACAAAGAAACACAACTCAAGATGATGCATTAGAATTGCTATAAATATGGCAATAGATCAAAAAAGCAAGCAATCAAAACACAAAGTAAAACTTACTATAGATATATTCATACAAATATGTGAATTATTTTTCCTTATCCTTACTCTTATTCAAGCCTATGTCCTCTTGATTGCTCTGATATTCATCTGTAAATATGTACAATTATAAAACTTGAGATAATATGAATTGCCTAATCTATTGTCATATTACATATGTTCTTTCTTAAAAATGCACCAAGCACCTAGCTATAGAAGGTAATTAAAAATACAACAACAATTCTATCAAGTTTGATAGAGTATTATATAAACTTCAAGTAATTTCTAATAAACCAAATTAAACTTTAATCTATTAAAATAAATTTAAAAGAAGTCACAAAAGAAACTCAAAGAAGTCATGATTTGATTTCAAAGAAAAATAATAAATAATCTTTAAAAAATAAAAAAATAAACTTTTAAAGAAATAAAAATAATCTAAAAAATACTAAAAATAAAAAATCTAATATAATCTTAATTAAAATCCTAATTAAATCTTAATCAAATCTTAGGTCAAAACCTAATTAAAATCCTAATTGAACCTTAATCAAACCTTAAGTCAAATCTAATAAAACCTTAAATCTTAAATATAATATTAAGGATATAAATCTTGAAGAAAGAAAATCCTCAATACATTCTTATGACATTGAAAAGAACTAGAAAGTTACTCAAAGATGATATATTATTGAACTAGAATAGTTATTGCAAAAAAAAAAAAAAAAAAAAAAAAAAAAAAAAAAAAACTAGAAAGTCTAAAAACAAGACTAAGGACTAGAAAGGCATTGACAAGAGGTAAGAAGGCTTCACTCCTACTTCCATATATATTCTTAACTAGGAGCTACATGGTGATGTCTTCTAAGACCTCCAAAACGTGTTGATTTTGTAAGATTCGTATCTTAACTTACAAACCAAGTTTTTTATATGTGCACCACATAATTAACTTATTTTATAAGCTACCAACATGTGATTAACTTGTTGACAAAGTTTTTAACCTATCAATCAACTACAAATACATGTAAAAATAAAAAAAAATTATAAAGCTTTTAAGAGACTTTTCTAGAAGGTATTATGAAATTATCCTACTTTTATCTATTTTTTCCTACTTCTATCCAATCATATAGGTATTTACTAGAGTACTTATGTATATCTATGACATTACTTTTTCTTCTAAGAATAAGTTCCACAAGGAGCAGTCATCATATATTAATGAAATCTAAAATGCTTCAAATTATATTTACTACATACTTTGATCTTTGTTCTCTTCAAAGATGGTTGATAGGTTGTCTCAGCTATTGATAGTGTTCCATACTAAGACAAGAAGACCACCTTATTATTTGATTGTTGTTAAGGCCTTCGTAACTTCTTTTGAATAAAACATTTGGAACATTGTCAGGAGTTGTTTTTACCTCTAATAAAATCATTAAACATTGGAATTCTCTTCCAAAGTTGTGATATCAAATATATTATATTTTTCCATCTATTTGAAGAAGGACATGTCATTGCTAAGGATCTTCATCTCAATTATGTCATCTTCAAGGTTGTGTCAATCACAATATTTCATTTGATAAGTCAAAAAATAAAAGCTCTTAAATTAAATTTGCTAATTTTTGATTCTCTATCTTCTCAGCATTACAAATATATAGAAGCTACAAAGAAGAATAGAAGGTAGAGTCTTATCTTCCTTTGATCTTGTTTCTTTTATAGCAAAGATTTGTTATTCTTTATCTTGATTTTGTTGGATGTCATCAATGAAAAGCTTCAAATCTCTTTGTTGCATTTGCAAGATTCTTTGGTGGCTTTCATGTGTATTTACTAATACCATATTTGTATCAATGAATAAGATATTTTGATCTATTTTGGTGTTGTCTTGAATTTAAGACTTCTTCCATCTTAAACCTTTGATTATTATTCACTTCTATAAGAAGAGGTGGCATTTGTCTTCTTTCTAAGATATTCATTGTTTTATATGGCTCAAAAAGAAATACATGAAATATAGTGTGGATCTTCATAAACTTCAATAGATATAATTGATAAGCAACAAGATTGACTTATTTACTAATAGGAAAAGATTTAAACCTAAAGTAATCTAACTTGTCACAAGGACGGATAGTCTTGATATTGAGACAAAGTAGCTATATCT